ACAGCTGAACAAAGTGACACATAAGGGCACTTTCTCTGCCGTTCCTTAGGTGTACAGTGTCAATTTTCATGAAAGGGAACACGGGAGCACATGGCCTGCGCGCTCCCCCGGGTGCTGGCAGCAACCACAGTGTCTTCTCGGATCATCTTGCAGGCCACGTGCTGCCGCGTTCCCTTTCATAAAAATTGACACTATACATACAGTAAAATCTCATTAATTAGAAGTCACTAAGACTGAAGAATATTTGAATTGAGTGGGTTTTTGAATAACCAAAACATACAAAAAGTGGGATGCAAGAAACTGATTTATTAAAAGTAATTAAAAGTGGTCGTTTTCGTGCCGTCTAATTCGCAGCTCCCCCCCTCCCCCAAGGGTCATATTTTTCTGCAATACCAGGGCCAAATTTTGCCACAAACACGGGCAAAATCGGAATCGGTTCATGACACCCAAAGTTTTCGAATTAACCAGACTAGTGCTGGCTGCCACTTCAAATTATCTACTCAAATTTATATTGAAAAATGCAGGGCCGCAGAAATAAATCAAATTATTGAGGTTTTAGTGTATTTGGCATTCAGTTCTCATACAACTGCAGATTGATACAAAACAAATGCAACAAAATTACTCCCTACAATATATTAGAATCACCCCCGTGAATGTGACAAAGGCGCAGAAACAAAAAAGAGGATTCTGCTTGTTACCACGAGCAAACATGTAGGCCGTGTTTTCCTTTATTTTTAAAGGAGCAACCAGATATGGCCCCGACTGCTTTCACATGTCACCGATTGCTTTAGGATTGCAGTAGTAACCACATTTCCTGTATTCCACCACTCCATCAGTTCTGTTTAAATCCCAAACTTTCATAGAACATTCACAAGTGAGTGAAATATCAATTTTATAATTATTTTAGAATGGCTCATGAAACTTCGGAAATTTTATATACCGACTGTTTCAACTTTTGTAATGAATTAGTAGTTCTAGAAATGAGCCATTCATTTAGAAAGTGAATTAAACAGAAGACCTTTTTTTTTTGCGCATATAGTGCCCACAGCAGAATATCTGCATACCCCTAGAAATTCAGAGAGAGGACGACTATCCCACGGAGTTCCACCATACAGGAAGAAATATAGAAAACTCCAACTAAACTACAAACTAGCAAACAGAATGACACCTGCTATTAGAATGCATTACTAATTACAAGATACAATATGACAACAACCACCTTAAACACAATGGAGTTGAAAGACCACGAGATTGAATGCAGGACATGTTCAAATCAGTAAACATACATTATTATTAGTCATGATATCGCCACGCTGACATACTTGTGGTAGTCGCACATGGTCGTTGCTATTGCCATGGTGTCTATTACATTGGCATTTTAAAATTCCAAAATTGTCTGTTACACACCCTTGCGGACACTTCGAATATAAAAAGGTGAGTAGCTTTCTATGTAGTGTGTGAGCACATAGCCTTCAACAGCTACTAACAGTTATCGGGGGAATGTGCTATCACATCAGACTGACTTGTGTGCTTTATGATTCACCACCACCTAGCCAATGTTGGAGTATCATGAAAGCCACCATTATGAGCATATTGTACAGATACAATTGAACAGTTTTCTTTTTCCTGGCATATTGTTAACATTATCATTGCAGGTACAAATTTTTCAATTCAACGTAACCAGAGTAAAGACAATTTCAAGTTTTATGTGATAACAGATGTCTATATCATATACTAAGCTATTTCATCTCTGCCCATATTAAGCATGAGCCTCTGTACTTGCTGCTTCAGACTTATGCTTTATCGCTTAGTAGTATAGCTGCTGTGCTGGCAGTTCTTTAGCCCCACAGCTCATCCTTAATTCATTCAGATGCATAACTGAAAAGTCCGAACAATAATGTGGTGTGGATTTTAGAAAGCTGAAAAAAAGAGTAGGTACTTTTGTAAACTAGGCGATGAATACTTATCCCAGCATTGTTTCCAACTAGACTGGTTCTGCTATTATGATTGAAGTTTGCAGTAGCACTTATTCCAGCACAAATCTAAGGTAAATAGCAGAGCAATCAAATGGAGTGTCTCCCAGAAACCTGGGAAAAAGGTAATATTAATAGTAATGAGGCAAAAAGATGGAACTAATAGCATTTTGTTAGTGGTAACCTTGCATATACCAGTAAATTTATTTTTTGGCAATGTTTATTTGATTAGTGAAAGCTGATTGCCTAAATAATTACTTCTATAATAGCAGAAACTCCAACATCTAATTATGCATTATATTTGAAAACACTGTGCTGAAAATTTCTATTCTGCTACATGATTAGAACACGGAAACATAAAAAGTGTACGCAACAGAGATGAAACACATGCAACTGGACTGGAAACCCATACAAGAGAAATGTAATTCGTCTTAATGGTTTGTGCTTTTAAATTTCCTCTAGTGATGGACCAACTCGCCCACAGACCAAGGTATTGTACGAAGGTATTGTACCAAGGTACTGTTTTTCCGTTTCAGATTTGTGGCACAAAAAGGCTAAGAAAGATGTAAAACGAGTGCATGTGACAGAAATGCACTCTATCTTCATCTTTTGTTTCTCTAGGTACATCATAACTAACACACAAACTTATGCTTAAAAAGAATGATCAGTAGTACAAAGCTACAGATTAACGACCACTATAAAAATTTGCATTTTTGAACAGAGGCTCAATATTACTTGGCTATATCAAACTATCCACTGCTTTGCATGGTGGGACGAGAGGTTGTTTCTACAAACGGTCACTCTACTTGTCGTATACTGTATTTTACTGCGATTACTTCTACTTACACTCTTCACAAGCATATGCATGAGGAGAGGGAGGGTGGAGTATCATGATTGATATACATGTACACAATCTGCTCAAACTACTGTCGATAGTCACGTTCGAAGAATAAAAAAGAAACAAGCATTCAAGGTCGCGAGGTACGGAAGAAGTTTTTTTGTAGCCCTGTCATCCCTCCCTGCTTAGCTTCCAGTGCTTTCCTCCGAACGAAAGAAGAGAGAATGCAATTGCAGCATGCGACAAACTTTTGTAACTCCACTCGTACTCGACGGATTCTCAAAATTTTTGCGGCATTGAATTCGTGAGGCAATAAACTCTTCCAGTGAATTCATTCCATGGTTACTTGAAAAAGTGTTTCAGGGCCCCTATAAATATCTTAGTAACAATACCATTATATCACAAATATGACTTATGAAATGCACAATACCAGTGCCAAAAAAACGCCATTTATTTATTCATTCACTCATTTATTCTTTTACTCAGCTTTCAGTTCAGTACCAGTTAGTATTGACAATATTTATTGCGTGACAAATGAAAGCACATATTTACAACCTCATGCGTCATATTAAGAAATAAACATTATTACAAAACACCGATTACTCTTCATATACTGTATGTATTAACTAAGCTTCACAGTGTCAACAGCAGCCTTCAGTCATGACTAGCGAAGCGTAGTTGTACTGAGAAGTGATGAGGCATACTTACAGATGACGGTGAATCAGGGCTCAACTGTAATTCAAACACACTGAAAAGTGCGTGCACGACAGATCTATTCTTACAGAGCCAAAATATGTTATTTAAACACAACAGTGTTTTATGCCGGGGTCCACCAAGAATATAGTGATGTACAGCTAAACCTCTGTCCAGAGGCATGCTCTGGACAGAATTGCTGTGCAGAGGCATGCTCTGGACAGCAATTCTAGACTTTTATATTAGATGTCTCATATAAGCAAGGTACTTTGTATGCATTTTCTTATCAACCCGTATTTTACTATAAGCAAACTGGTTTCTCTTGTACCTATTTCTCTCTTATATCAATGTCTCTTATAATAAAATGGCGTTCGACTGTATTTTCTTCACGAATATATCTTTGTTAAAACGAACGTCACTAAGTGAGAAATAAAAAACTGCATAAAAATTTCCTTCGCCAGTAGTCTAACCTCAGACTCCTTGGCCAGCCATAATAACTGACTTGTGCTGTACCAGTCGAGCTAATGAGGCAGATGAGCATCTCTCTACTAACATGTCTTATATCGCTCGACCATTCTCTCTTGCACATTGCTCTCTGGTAGTTATAAGGGCGGTGCTTCCCTCTGTGAGCGGTGACAAGAAGTACGTAATGTGGTATGACACTTATAGTGGTGATAGAGAATGAATCATTAATGACATACTTAAAGCATGGCATCCGAGATTGTGTGCCGGGTCGCGACCTCGAAGGCCATGGCAAAAAAACACGGGCTCACTAGTATTGTGGAGTCTCCCTAGATGCAGTCATGTTATTTGCCTTTTACTTCGTGTTAGCATACAATAACTCTTTCCCGGAGTAGTACCGCTTCTAGACGTGTCAACAACCGTTACTCCCCAGTAATAAAACTGCTGCAGTAAGCACTGCAGAGAAGCAACGATATCAACGGGGGAATGTGGGGCTTCGTAGGGGCGACACAGAGGCCAGCAGGACGTGGAATGCCTGCATGCGTTCACGGCTCAGGCTACGAATCTTTTCTTGTGTTGCTGAAGCACAGCGTAGTAGTGTATGCATGAGTACAGGCGTAGGTTACCCTCTTACTCGGGGGCACGCATCTTTGAAGAAGCGCACATCAAAGCAAACGTTTTGAAGAAGAGCACATCCCGTACCAGCTGTGCTTGTAATGCTATCTTTGAGCAGGATTCATGATACGGTGTGTGTCCAGATATAAGTTAACAACTTCAGCTTCCGTAACGATTAAATCATCATCCTGGGTGTTAGCCATCACAATGACGATGTGCCACTAGGTGTGCATGCATCTTGTACAAACGATCGAAATCACTACACAATAAGCACTATTACTGTGAAAACAGTTTTCACTTTCGTGTTTATACCAACTCCTATAAAGAAGGGATCAGTCATGTTTTTTACCAATTGAAACGGAATGCACATCAGTGATAGGAGAGCACAACAGTAAAGGAAAAATAAAGGTGCTGCTTACCAGGATTGAAGAGGACCACTGCACGCAGACAGCCAAGCTCGGTGCGGTCCATCTTCATCTCGCGCATTTTTGCTACCAATTCAGTAAGAACCCGGTCGAAGATAGCTCCAACGCCAGCGCTGTGAGCACTATGCCGCTGCACCACGAGGCCTGTTGCGAGCACAATGCCATCACGCACATCTATGGAGCGGTGTGAAAAAGCAGCAATAAGTAGCTCATTCCAACCAGCCTTAAGCAGCACCATGCGGTCCTCGATGGGAAGCTCCTCGAAATGTGGAATGTGCTTGGCCCACTGGACCAACTGATGCAGCTGTCGGTCAGCTGCTTGGCAGATGCTGCTAACAGGATCTTGCTGTTGGGCGTTCTCGGAGAGGGTGCCGGTGTGCGGCTCAACTCTCAACTCTGCCTCCAGTATGCGTTCCAAGGGCATCTCTGGGGGTGCGCCACCACTTGTGCTCTCCACTTCACTGTCGGCACGGTCCTTTGTGCGCTGTCGTTCCTCTTGCACAGCCTCCCGCTTCATGCCGCAGGAGAGGCACTTCTGGTAGCGACAGTACTGACATCGGTTGCGCTGCCGCTTGTCGATGACGCAGTTGCGCTCCTCTCGGCAGGCATATGTCAGGTCTTTCCGCACCGTGCGCTTGAAAAAGCCCTTGCACCCCTCGCAGCTGTGCACAGAACAATGCCAAAGAAGATAAACACAAGCACCACTAGCATAGATGAGTGAATGAAGGAATAAATGAGGTGTAAACCCACAAACGCTCATGAGATTCACCGTCTGCATCGGTTTCCGGTTCAAGATATCTGCGGTGTGCCGTTTCGCTGGCCGCATTTTTGGAGCTGTGCGCACGTCTTTTCTTTCGATTTTGTTGCAATCTAATCACTCGCACAATCATCGTCGGTAGTGCTTCTGTCAATTGCTCGAATTCGAGCACCAAATGGGAAAAGATGTTCAGATACGCTTGGAACGAAGATAGAAAATTTAAGTGGGTTTTGCGGCAACAAAGAGACCCTTTGGATGCCTAGTGTCAAATGGGTGATATTTGTCCTAAATCCTGCATGAATACTTTCGTTTGTGTGACACATTCAGTATTTACGCACAGGGGCTCCCAGAAAAAAACTAGGGTAGGTTGACTATGTGCCACTGACATTTTGATTGATATGTGGGGTTTAACGTCCCGAAACCACCATTTGATTATGAGAGATGTCGTAGTGGAGGGCTCCAGAAATTTCGACCACCTGGGGTTCTTTGACGTGCCTCCAGATCTGAGCACATGGGCCTACAACATTTTCGCTTCCATCGGAAATGTAGCAGCCGCAACCAAGATTCGATTCCGAGATCTGCTATTGACATTTTGGCATGACGAAAGAGGAACTGAGGCGTCAAGGCAGAAGCATGAAATACATTTAAAGTGTAGTTTTTCATCAGCACAACCACAATCACTATCTACGCAGCTAAGACAAGCATACCATGTTTATGCTAAAATTCACGGCCGCCGTGCAACGTGCAGCTTGCTCTGACCCTGGTACTGAAAATAGCTCGACACAGCAGTCATCAGCAGCACATCAGGCTAGCAGTGACGCCACGGAATCAACAGACACAGCATTTGTCAATTACATCAACTGCAGCCACGTATACACAGTCATGCGGTAGTTCTGAAGGCAACAACCTCGCACCAGTGGGAGAAAATGATGTGTCAGTAACGCTATGTAGACAAGAAAAAGCGCCCCTCTTTTCCAAGCAGGTATACAATGTGTTGCTGGTAATTCAAAGTGTTCCTCCAAGCATTTCTTTCATAGTAATCAATTTATTCATACCTGATTTGGTGCACAAGTGAGCAAAACAGGTAACTACGCATAACAAACACGATGCCTGCCTAGGAGGCGAGCGTCGTCTCGGCCAGCCTGTTAACCAACGAGATGCAATACGGAAACGCCAAACAAGCTCGACATACCAAAAAAAAAGTCCCGCCAACACATTCCGCTTTCAAAGATTTTTTTCAGTACTGGTCTAGTAAACGAATGAACAATTGAACATTGAGCCAGGCTGTCACCGCTGAATAAGTAGATTTAGTAACACAGGATACCCTTTGCACATGATGAACATTGATACAAGCTACTGTTTACGCAACAATCCGAGACGGCGACAGAGCGGTGTAACTACGAATGCAAAAATGGCTGAGCGTCCGACAGAAGAAAACCCGTAAAAATGAGCTTGTTGTTGACAATCTTGTTAACATGCAAGTGTAAAATTTGTTGAAATATGTGACAACAAAGGCCATACTACTTATTATTCAGAAAAAACACAGAATCGTGATAGCCCGTACAGTCTGTTGTTTGCAGCTTCTAATGAAAATATTATTTGGCAATGACAGTGCATGCTTCCCTTTCGTGGTCAGTCGTAGGTGCGACTGTGCTAACAAGTCCTGGAAATTTGCAGCATACGCATTGGGTTGCCATGAAGAAAACGAGCGACACCAATACCCATTTGCCGATACCTAATGAGTGACACAGCAGAAAGAGAGTCGAACCAGAAGCTGGTGCAGACCGCGTGCATTCCATGATCCTTTGAGAGTTAACGTCTCACCTAAGTAACTATACAGGGAAAAAAACCAACAACAACAGCAAAGTCCGTGAGAAGGAAAGCAAAACAATGCAATCAGTATTTGTAAACAACGAAGCACCAACAATAATTCTCACAATGCTAAGTTGATATTCAATGTGAGCACTTTGCAATAATTTTTCAATCATTAGGTAAATAGAAAGAATGGGCAAAATAAACACTAATAAAGTGTGAAATCACCCTCAATCAATATAACAAAATGAGGCATAATGTGACTTCTTTAAGTATCTGCATGAAAACTCAAAATCAGAATTTACGAGTAACTTAACTGAAGCTAATTTGCCAACACAAGGTAAATACACAGAAGTAATACTGAGGGGCATAAAATCATTTGCTTTACGTGATAAGCCAGTCAGATTCATTAGGTCTGGCTGTCCTACCTAGTCAGAACCTTGGAGATATACTATGCATTAAGAGTGGATACGTGGGACTGTTGGTAGTGGGTCATAGCATAAGCTTCTTGCAAGGTAGAGGACACCAGAAAGAAAAGAATGAAGACACACAGTGCTGTGTATCGTCCATGTTTAAAGACGATTGTCTTTCTTGGGGACCTTCGATACTGAAATTTCGGTCTGTCTGTCTGTACATTTGTATGTTTGTCCACCCTTAACGGTATTGAGTACCCTGAACGGCAGCAGCCAATGCCCCAAACGGCCCAACCCATCCGCAGCGCCCACCAATGTTGCTCAAGACTGAGCGTTCATACTTGTGCGATCGTCAAATAAAAAGCAATTATTGCACATATCTGAGGCACCATAACAACATGTATATATTCTGTATGTGCGTCTTTTACTAGAACAGGCATACATAAGTAATTCTAACGACCATAGTGCTTATCATGCTGCGCTGACCATGCGGCGCTTGCACGAAGAAGCAAGTGTTTCCAACGCTTTGCTAAGACGATACGGTGGCGGCACCTATCCGTCGCCTTCCATTCTACACCTTATCGCCTATGAGATGGGCACGCACCCGTCTCAGAGCTGCACGCTACGTTTTCCAAGAAAACTGCCAGCTAGCGCTCATGTCTCACGTGTGACATGACTGGATGCGCTCGTTCCCCTTCGCTGCACGCTCAAGACACTCTAACGCAGCGCTTCCAGAATACCATTCACCGATTTTCTTGCACAGAACATCAAATTAATGTTTTGTTCACTCTCTTCACACACGACTATCGTCCTTCGACGACATTTGCACATTACCATGCAGATACGGGGCCAATCTTTTTTCTGGTGCCCTTGTCTTTTGCTGCATGACAACAAAGCTTAAGAAATATATTGCACAAGAATATCCTCACATAGAACAATATATCAAAAGCTGTGATGCAAATAATAACTGACTCAATAAAAATCTTTGATAAGAGCAGGGTATATGTAAGTTAATTCTAGCTTGGTAGATAACACAAGTGAATAGGCACACTGCTATTCCTAATAATACATCATAATAACAACGAGCAATTAGTAGGTTTATAATCTGTGGCATGTCGTATACTCTTTGTAAATTCTGAGTAATAAAAATTTATTCGAATAACTTAGTGAAATGTCACTTGCATGAGCCTTTCTGTAAACAATATGCAAAACGTTAGAGTGCAAGTTAAAGTAAACATGCAATATGAAGCAACAGATGCTTCAAATGCCATGTCTCCCACAACTTTTACCCATCATTAGTTTCAGGGCCCCAAGGATGTAGGGCTATTGCACACCTTTATTGTGAAAACGTTATATTCCAGACTACCTGAATCATTCAGATAGTCTGGAACATAACTGTTTAAAGTGAGCTCCTCACACTATTTCCGTCAGGCATGAATGAAATATTTAACCTGAATCCAGTATCAGATGATCTTCATTAATGTCATTTGAAGAAAGTGTGAAATGACTTTTCCATGTATGACGTTGTGGCTACATATAGCTTTTATTCTGCACATATGCTTTTAACTGTCGCTCGATGCTGCCTATGCTTTTCCCATTTTTTTAAACGTGATGCATTCTACCCTGCTCTTTGTACATTCTCTTGTATGCTTTTGTCTTTTTTTGTATATATATTTACTGCCATTTGTATTCAACCCTGCTAAGCATCACTAAAATTTTGCAGCAAATATTGTCTAAAAACTATGTGTACCTTCCACCCTGTAACTGCCCTTTTGAGGGCTAGCAGTATTATTAAATGAATGAATTAATTATAATGCACTGTCAACGAATGTGTCCAATTCCATTATCTAATTCCAAAGCACTTTATAAGATTTCAACACAAGAAAATGAAGTGATATATTGTTTTGTACAAGTTCAGTAATTAATAGTAATTAGCATATAAATAAATACCTCATCATTGCACAGTTATGTTCTATGTTGACAAAAAAGAATGAAATTATAGGCTCGGAATGTGTGCACAGTTAGTTTTCGGCTGCATTAGTTCAAGAATTTCAACATTGGTTCCAGAACGCAGCATGTCAAACATCCTATCGAACATCGCTGTGCCTTCAGGAAAGCGATTGGCTGCAGCCATATGAGGCACACTGAGGTGAAGTCAAGACATGACTACGCAGAGGGTTCAATTTGTCTAATGACCAATGTATCTTGCTCTTTTTTTGGCCACAAGTCAACATGACTGGCAAAAACATGTTCCATACACAAACGTAGCCAGTGCCGCTCAAGGGGTTGTGGTCACTCCACATTTTGTTTCACATATCTAGCTTTTAATGGTATGGTACTCTCCCATTAATCAATCCAAGTGGAGAGTTGGCCTGAAGTAGGTGGCCACTCTTTTAAGTTCACTGCAGCACAAAAGGCGATACTTGGTATAAATTGACCGGCAGGCATTGTTTTGCATATGCTACTTTCTCGCTAGTTTTAAATCCATCGAAGTGAAACAGGTGCTTTCAGCTGGCAACCAAGTGGTTTCGAAACTGAAGGCACATACAGATTAACCTTTGTGCACTTCAAACTTGAAGCGAACAATATGCACATGAAATCACTCGCCTGTACACGCCATAGTGCTTTCCCGAAGCCCGATCTCCGCAAATGGAGCAGAGATGCTTGGAGCCACTCAGCGGGTGGTTGGGAGGATAACGCGTGGCTGCTTGCTGCGGAGCGGCCGGTGGTCCGTTGTTCAGCTGACGACCGTCCAACGGGGATCGACTGGCCGAGGGTGCGCCGTAGCCGCTCAGCAGGAAAGACGGCTGCGGCGGAAGGCTGCTCGAGACTCCGTTGGAGGTCCCGCCGTTCAAGCCCGGCGCTGTGCGAATGCCCGGGGGAGAAACATCAGGCGGTTGCAGCGGTCGCGTCGGCCACGAGGCCGCAGGCCCCGCAGAGCCGTACAACAGAGCAGTTACGGAAAGCTTCGGCCGCTCCTTCTTGTACATGCTGCCGACGGCAACAGGTGCGCACACGAGAACCGGCTGCTGCACTCCGTAGCGCGATCTAAGCTGGGGAGGCGCCACGAGGCGGCCTTGGCCGCGAGCACACGTCGACGACGCTCGGGTTTGACCTTGAGACCGGGGTTCACGAGATCACAACCGCGACTGAATCACAAGAGTTGTGCGACCACTAGTCGCCGATGAGTGGCAGCCTGCCGCACGCACCGGGGAAGCGCAGTGACGCACCTCGGGACTAGTCGGTTGTCCTTGAGTGGCGACCGTGTACAGGTAGTACACCCGACCCTCGCTGCGCAGCTGTCCGGACTCTCTCCCCCGTGGGAGGCACGCCAAAGGTGACGAACGCAACGGCGGCCCAGCGGTGAAAACCGCGCGTCTTTGACTCCTCGACCGTGAATACGCGCGGCAGCAACGCGCTGCGAGGCGGGCTTGTCGAGCATAGCGCCACTAACAAACGCCCGCTCTCTGCACACGCGCGCGCTCGTGCCGCAAATACTCCGTTTACCCGAGTGCGCACAGACGTACTTCAGGCATAAGCAAGGAAGGATTTCCATGCAAGGGATTGGGGATCCTGCAATGAAGGGTACGAGTGAGTTCTCGTTAACACTTGCTGCTTGTAATCAATGTGCGTACTCGCAGCTCCTAAATTTCGAGAAACCACACTTATATGCTGCTCGCACACTACATTGTCTCAGTATACGGTGGCGATAAGTGATGTTACAAGTTACTGTAAACGCTTTTGGTAAACAATAGACCGCCGCCCTTGAAGGACATCAGCCCGACACTATTGGGTCAGTGAACCTAATAACAGGGAAAAGCGCGTCTGCTACAAGCGGCAAATGTTAACGGCTTGTGCAGTCTTACCTCGCTCCTGTGTGGCCATGTACTCGGATCGAGCTCAATCTGTAGACATACTCGTTTTGAATTTGCTGACCGAAAGTCAGAGTTATTAAGTTGCAGGGTCGTCACAGTGACCAGTCGTCGGCATCAAAACGGAATTGTGGGTCGATGTGGCGCCATCTGGAGAAAGTATAATGAGACTTTGCCAGCATGCGCCCCTATCCTTCCTCCGTGCCCCTATAGGAATCTTCGATTTGGCTTGCACTAGTTCAGAAAAGTGCAGGTGCAGAAAAAGCGGTGCCAAGCGGTGCAGTGAGCGTGCAGCGCCGGTCGAGCAAGTGCAGGTGCAGCCTCAACCACGCCTCGGCACTAGCCGACACTAGCGCGCGACGGCTACAGCCAAAACGAAGGCGTGAGTTGACGTGAGTGCAGGCCGGAGAACACCTTGTAGTGTAAGCCTAAAATAGCCGCCTCCGCCGCCTTGTCCGATCAATACACGGCCGTGATGGCACTTCTTGTGACTGCGATGGAATTGCTGGACTCGAGCAGCGACGACGATTCCGTCAGCGGTGCCGTTTGCAGTGACTGCGACGATGAGTACGACGATGCGTGCATCTTGGTCGCGTGCGCGTTGGTGCGCGACGATGCCAACCGTGTACCCGGGTACGAAAGCATTATCGGCAGGTACCATGAGTATGAATTCAAGCGCCTCTTCAGGCTGTCCAGGGAGACTTTTGATAGTTTCAGGGCCAAGTTCAAGACTTCAGCCTTCTACCCAAGGGCAGTGCAAGGCCGCCAACAAATCAGTGCCGAAAAAACATGCCTCATAGCGCTTGTGTACCTAGGCTCACAAATATCTATGTACGCCATAGGCGACAAATTCGATGTTACCGAGTCGTCTGTTCATGTTTGTGTGACACGGGTCGTTCACTTCTTACACGCTATTAGCGATGAGATAATTTGCTGGCCTAGTAGCGCGGAAGTGACCCGCATAAAGAACGGCTTCCTCGCCAAAAGTAAAGGCAAGGGCCCAAGAAACACCATCGGCTGTATCGATGGATCACACATCGGGATACTCACTCCAAGCGAATCTACGCAGTCTTACTTCAACCGGAAAAAGTGGCCTTCGATAATCCTGCAAGGAATCTGCGACGACAGGAACAAGTTGCTGAACGTGTTTATTGGGTTTCCAGGTTCGGTTCACGACGCCCGTGTCCTGAGGGAGAGCCCCTTCTTTGCACGCGCAATTCAGGAATGTGAAGACAATTATATACTGGGTGACAGTGCATATCCACTGATGCCATGGCTCATGACCCCATTCAAGGACAATGGAAGTTCTTTTCCTACGTGGAAAAAGAGCTTCAATAAACGACACAGTCAACAACGAGTGCTTATTGAGAACACCTTCGGCCTGCTTAAACAGCGTTTTAGGAGGCTCTACCTTGTTGATGCAAAAAGTGTGCAACAGTGCTGCTATATAGTTATGGCTGCGTGTGTGCTACACAACATGTGCAACGATGAAAGGGACTTCCTTGAGGAACTTGCAACGCTTCCCCAAGAAGAAGATGTGGGCAATGATGAAAGTGAAGGAGATTTTGATTGCAGTCTGCCAGGCTACAGTCAGTCTCTGCGAGAGTTCATTGCAAAGGAACAGTGCTAGAAGTTCATCTTTGCTTCGCGATTTATTCAGTGTGCAAATGTTTTGCGAAGTGGGGTGCCGCGTCTAGAAGCAATGTTTTTTTTTAACAAATTAGATGGAGTAGACACTGCTAGTGTTATAAAAGTTTATTGCCCATATTATAACCCGTCCTTATTTGAGAGTACGTCGATCAACCGATCGAATCGCTGCATGCGCTCATCATGCCGCTTTGCCTTTGCCTCTTCCCATTTTTTTCTTTCCTCCAGTTGTTTCACTGCTGCCTCCTCTTGCTTAGCTCTCGAAGCTTGCATTTTTTCTAATGCCTCCAAGAGCGGCGTGACTTGGGACCTACTCTGGCGCTTCCTTTTTGGCGTTGTGCTGCTCCGAACTTTGGATGCTGTGTTGCACTCGACTGGGACTGCTGCATCTTGAGGTGCTTCAGTGATGCTGGTGCTGTTGAAAGTAATTGTACAGGTGCCATGTCATTTCCAGGCTACAGCACAAATTAAGTAATTTTTACTTACTCTGGACTTGCACTAGGCAGGATTGTTTTTCCAGGCTCCAAGAGCAGCCTTGGATTTACACTATGTTCTTTTTCCAAGACTTCTGCCAGCTCTCTGTAATAGACACTATGAGAATCACTGAAGATATGAAGACACAATCGTAACTTACTCTTCATATTCACAGTTCACACGGTGGTGACCTGAAGAATTGTTGTCTTTTTTTGACTTTTTATATGCTCTGTCCAGCGACTTCCATTTGTTTTCCACTTGTGTGGCAGTCACGTTGCACAAGAACTCCGTATTGATGGCCTCAGCCAACTTCTTCCACAGAAGCCTTCTTGTGCTAAACAAAAAAGCAAAGCACAGTTAGTAGGAAAGAAGGAAGCGACGTAACGTGACCCAAGTCTTGCAGTAGCACATGAACCTTTCCTTAGTACTTCATATGTGTAGCTTTCAGGGATAATTGCTAGGGATGTTCGATTATTCGAAAATTTTGGATAATGAATCAAACAGCACTGTATTCGGTTCCTAAGTCGAATCGAATTGCACATATTCTAAGTAACAAATATTCTTTTAATAATCGGCACTGGCGGGAGAACCCCAAAACAACGAAACAGCTACAAGTCATTCTTTCAATCCCTAATGTGACCTGTACGCAGCCCAAGCTTTTGCAAGACTACCTACACTATATTGATTGTCGAATGAATGCGCTTCTGAAAGCTCCATTCTTGCTCAATTTTTACTGCACTTTAGCTGTATCGCATTTATCAGCTCCTGTCTTCGTCTTGTAATAACCAAAGGTGGGAACTACGAGTGCTTGCAGCTTCACGACTAGCAACAGATACAAGTTTTGCGTTTGCGTAAATTGTTCTTGCAGATGTAAATTTCAACGCCCATTGTTATCCGCTTTTAGTGCGCAGGCCATGTTGTGATGACGGGTTGATCTGCTCCGTTACATATTTAGTTGTATCTGCAATGTTTGGTTGTAAATTGTTTTGTTTTTGTGTCCCAATTTTATTTAAAGTGAGGTGACAAAGTCTCACGTTGATAACGCTAGTCAATGCCGTAGTTGAACCTACAATTACAAAATGTTACGAATATTCTAGTTCCTGCTGCATACGAGATTACCTTAGTTTTCGTAATTGTGGTATTTTGAGTAGATTCAAACTGACTGTAATGGCCTTTGTCGAAAGTTTGTGACTATTTGTTTCAAATAAAATGTTCTGTTCTAAGGCTGTTTTGAAATGGTCTACTTACTATTCAAACAGTATTCAATTACTATTTGTATTCTATTTGGTGCCATTACTATTTGACTCTTACTTGATTAGGTTCCGAAATTCACTATTCACACACTTCTGATAACTGCGAACGTTCTTTTTGTGCGGGAAGCATTATGTTGGAGAAGTTGAACATTGTGTAAATCACTCTTTTGGATCATAAAGCTTCACTAAGGAGACAGCCATATTCTAACCTGTCTTTGCATTGTAAAACATGCAGCTGCGCAACCTTGTTTGCTGACACGACGGCGCAGTCTAGGTTCAAAGATAGGGTAGCACGTGTCAAGAAGCATATCTCTTTTAACAATGAGCTGCACCATCTTGAAAAGTGGCAGTGCGAGAGAAATGCGGACAGACAGTGAAGACACAAGGACTGCAGGGCGAGACTTGCTAGAGATGTGCCTCAGAATAACAACATGCAATTCCCTCTAGTGCAAATTCTCAAGGCAGCACTACACTTGCAACATGGCTTGAGCTTGGAGGTGCTGCACCTTTTCGGCAAGACAGCGGTTGTGCAATGCCCAACACAAAAGCACCGTCGCTGTTTTGAAGATCACTTGACTTAATGAAACATTACGAATGCCTTCGTTGTGTATATATGTGCGTGACTATACATACTGTTTGTGTGTATATGTAAACGTATATGTCACAGTCAGGCGCATAGCCAAAATTTTTTTTCAGTGGGGGGGGGGCAGTAAAATGTAAATTGCTGGCAGTAAAATGTAGGCAACAATAACCATCGCCATTGTGAACTTCATGCGCCCTTATCTTGTTGGTGCTTGCCTAGAGTGAAACGGAATAATAAAAAGCTGCAAATAATTTTGGACATAGGATGACATACCGAAGTGCCCTGGTTTTTCCCACCAAGTCCTTCATTTCCGAGTATTTGGCGATGAAGAACTTTGTTTTTCGGGCGCTCCAAAGCTCTTCCACATCTTCAGCCGACGCGGCTGCTGCTGGAAATGCGGCTAAAGCCCCATCGCTGTCAACGTCGCCGTCGCAGGCAGGAGAAGGCGTCGGCGGTTGTGCCGGAGGGGGGTCATTTTCACGATTCCCTGCCATGAACCGCAACGTAACGCGCTTGCCGTCTGCAAGGGCGAAAACCAAGATTAAAAATACCGACATAGCATAAGCAATGCTACGAGGCTGTTTGCTGACCGACTACGACTCCTGGCCGCTAACCACGTTTTTTGGCAATGCATGCAGCCTGACTTACCTGATGCCTCATAGACGTAACCGTTGGCGTCCGTCATAAATGACCCGTCGGGATTGTGAAGTGCCTTAACTTCCTTTTGAACGCCCTGAACAACTATTTGCAACGTCGTCTGCTCTGGCCTTGGGGGGACGCCCGCCATGCTGCACTACTCTGCACCTGCTTTGGAGTGCGTGCACGCCGGTACAGAACTCGTCAGGAACTAGGCTTACACCTAGACAAAACGAGGGAGCCAGTGCAGAGGGTGCGACAGAGGGCGCGCGCTGCTCCGGCAAAACGAGGACGAAGGTGCTGCACCCTTTGAACTGGTTCAGCCGGTGCAGCCAAAACGAAGAGACCATATCTTTCACGTAGGTGCGGCCGCGGCATGCGGTATGACGCTTACATGGGATGCGTGTGTGCGTTGCTCAGTTCTGGCGTGTTTTGTGTTCGGAGGTGTCTTTGTGTTGGGTTACCGCGTTGGCCTTGTAAGCGCTTCAATTTTAGCGGTTTCTACGTTTGTGAAGCCCGTGCGGAAACAACTTGCATATTTGATACTCAACTGCGGCGATGTCAAGGCGGTGCCGGTGACTGCGGGACCCATTAGTGAGTGTATGACGCCCATGATCCGACGTGCTAGGTTGTTTCGGGCTTTGCAGTCGCCTAAACTTAAATGGCTCATCATCGCGTCTGCAATCGTATTACTCGTCCAAATTACTGGACTGTACACAATGTGTTGGGAAACCCCCTACTCGCAGTTCACGTACCCACTTGAAGTGGATGTTCCCGAACTCTTGCGTGCTCTCGAGGATGGTCGCGCGCCTGCTGTCCGGCCTATCAACTCCTACGAAAGCTACCGCTTCAAAATTCGCAACGACCGCAAGTGTGCGGACGTCAACGGCACTGTGCGACTGCTTTTACTTGTCAAGTCTGCGCTGCACCACAGAGCACAGCGGGATGCCATCCGTCGGAGTTGGGGTTTCGAGTCCCGTTTTTCAGACGTCGTCATACGGCGCATTTTCATGCTTGGTGCTGGCAAGCCGGAGACACAAGACGAAGTTGACGCCGAGTATGCGCGTCATAGAGACATCATTCAGGCAGATTTCATTGATGCCTATTTCAACAACACTATCAAAACTATGATGGGGCTCCGGTGGGCATTTGAACACTGTCGGAAAGCTGAATTCGTGTTGTGTGTAGACGATGACTACTACGTTTCCGTGAAAAATCTGCTCAAATTTATCAGAAATCCGTGGGGCTTGTCGACCGTAGACTCTGAAGAAGAGAACACACCTGCATCATTTATTGGAGATGGTCGTCTTTGGGCAGGCTATGTGTTCGCCCGATCCCGACCTATGCGGCATCGTTGGAGCAAATGGTATTTATCGTTGGATGAGTACCCTTTTTCGCGATTTCCACCTTACGTGACAGCGGGCGCATTTGTGCTGTCCCAGCCAGCTCTGGTAGATTTGTACCAAGTGGCCCAGTATACGCGCCCATTCCGTTTTGACGACATATTCCTAGCAATTGTGGCACGGAAAGCCGGCCTACAGCCGTTGCATAGCGACGCATTCCGTTTCTGGGGCAGGCCCGAGTCCCCACAAGACTTTGAAGGCTTGGTGGCTGCTCATGGCTTCAGTGATCCTGAATTATTGGTGCGTGTTTGGGAACAGCAGAAGAGTCGTGGCCAGGCATGACACATAGGTTTTCAATGAAACTGTTTCTTAGCTCTGGACTGTGTTTTATTGTTTACTGCGACAATAAATTCTTGTTGGCTGTTCTGTTTGCTGACTAATGTCCATTAATGTCAAGTGAGAAAAATGATGCTTGTAGTACTACTTGCGAAATGCATCGTAGTTGTGCTTTGTTTTGGTGGGGAACAAAAATTACTGCTGACTCTATAACTGTCATTGCATTGTTTGTATTCAGCTTCAACTTTTTGTGTTTGCATACTGAAGCAAGTGGTTGGCTGCTGTTGTGACATTCGCCTTCGGTAGAGAATCAATGTGCACAAGTCAATTCTTAAACTTCTCGACACGCAGTACTCATGCATTGACCAGAATTATATGTTAAAACACATTTGAAGGGGCCCTCCAACACCATTCAACCCCCCTTGTTTTATTCGTCGGTAGTGTAGGCTGAAGTACAGACAGATTAATGCAGTAAAAGCTGCAGTGATAACGGCACGCAGTCTCAAGTTATTCGACTTATAAAATTGAATATACAAGAAAAGAATGCCGACCCTCGATTCGGTTTTTGCGGGGTCATTTGACTGTAGTTCACTCGCCCATGACGTCGAAAGGCTGTCCCAGTGAAATAAATAGGAAGCGCCTACGTAGGGGAAGCTCGCACTCTGTTGTTGCTGTTTCTGTTTTCAAATTAATGTAGACCTTGTGTTTGACGCCTGGATTCGCAATAACGTGAGTGGGAGCTACTATGTCGAAGTGAGGTATTTTGTGCCGTTTTTTACAACATTCTGAATCACTCCCTCCTCTTATACTGAAAAAAAAACTTGTGGAACGACCAGGATAGTGAACTACTGTTCACCCTTCGCGCGATGTTCACTGAGCTGCCCGAAGAAAAACAATAGTGCACTGGATGGATGAATGGATTGATATGGCTGTACCCTTTAGATCGGGCGGTGGCTAACGTCACCAAGCTGCGATACTTAGTGAACCAAAAACTAAATTTTTTTTTCCTTTAAATAGTGAGGTTGAAGGGTTTAATTTTCACTCATGCCTTGACTTTAGCCACCAATCAGATAACCTCCTTCTAGTTAATTCTACCCACTTAAAGTCTATTTTGCCCTCCTGGTTCCTAAACCCCAGTGCTTTGAAAAACTCTGCGCCATCAACCTGAACTATAGGGTGAAGCCCTTTACAAAACATTATCAAGTGTTCGGCAGTTTCCTCCTCCTCTCCACACGCACTCCATCCCGTGTCTACCCCTTCGTATTTGGCCCGATATGTCTTGGTTCGCAATATTCCCGTCCTCGCCTCAAACAGTAGAGAACTACCCCTAGTATTATCATAGATCCTTTCCTTGGCAATTTCCTGCTTAAAAATTCGATAGATCTCTAGTGCGGACTTCTTAATCATGTCAATTCTCCACATATCAGTCTCCGCTTCCTTCACCTTCTTCTTAACTGATAATTCTTTTTGGTGTGGCCCCCTGCTGTTTCCTAAGTATTTACCCGTCAGTTTTATGGTTCGCTTCCTCCATTTTGTATCGACATTCTTCATGTACAAGTAGCTGAAAACCTTCCTAGCCCAATGCTCCTCCCCCACTTCTCTCAATCACTTCTCAAAATTTATTTTGCTGCTAGCTTTCCTACCCTCAAATGATGTCCATCCCATATCACCTTGTACACTCTGATTTGGTGTATTCCCGTGAGTGCCTAAGGCAAGCCTACCTATTCTACATTGCTTAATTTCTAATCTTGCTTGAACTTCTGATCTCATGCACAAGACCGCATTGCCGAACATCAGACAAGGAACCATGACCCCTTTCAAAATTCCCCTCACAACATCACACCTATTGTAATTCCAAAGTGCCCTATTTTTTATCACCGCTGTATTCCTGTTACCTTTAGTCATTATGTATATTTCATGTTCCCTTAGGTACACGATCCCCTTGCTTATTCATACCCCCCCCCCCCCCCCCCCCCCCGATATTTGTATTTATCTGTTATCTCTAGTGTGACCTCTTTTATCCTAGGCTCCCTATATTAATCCTGTTTTCTTACTGAAACTGAAATCTAACCTGTCTGCCTCATTACTGCAGATATCCATCAATCTCTGCAAATCTTCCTTGTTGTCGGCCATTAGCACTATATCATCTGCGTACATAAATGCTGGTAGTGCCTGTTTAATGAGTTCTCCTTGTTTGACGAAAGATAGGTTGAAGCCAAGTCCACTTCCCCTTAATTTGGCCTCTAATCCTTGTAGGTACATCATCAATAACAAGGGTGACATAGGACACCCCTGCCTAAGCCCCCGTTCTACCTCTGTGGGCTTGGATACCTGTTTTTACCACTTTATAACTATCGTGTTACTTTTATAGATGTCTTTTAAAAGATTAGTGACTTCATCTTCCACACCTAGTGTGTCCAGTATTCCCTTCAAGTCCTCTTGAACCACCCTATCGTACCCTCCCTTGATATCCAAAAATGCCAGCCACAGGAGCCTGTGTTCCTTTTCTGCTATTTCGATGCACTGCATCAGTGAGAACAGATTGTCTTTCAACCTCCTGTGTTTCTGAAACCCATTCTGCTGTTCCCCCAGCACCCCCTCATCCTCTATCCATGCCTGCAGTCTTTCCTTTATAATCTACATTGCCAGCCTGTAGACCACTGATGTCACTGTTATAGGACGGTAGTTGTTTATGTCAGCTTTGTCCCCTTTTCCTTTATAGATCATGCTCATCCTGCGAAGTTTCCATTCATTGGGGACTTCATCATCGATTATGGTTTTGCTCACTGCGTCTCTCAAAGTCTGCGTAGACTTGGGACCTAATTTTTTTATCAGCGTAATTGGGATGCCATCAGGGTCTGTTGATGTACTACTAGGAACCCTCTTTTCAGCCCTTTCCCACTTTCGTGAAAATGGGGCCATTGTGCCACTTGATTCATCCTTGTCTATTGTGGTGCATAAGGCACTTCTTTGTTCAAACTTTTCTGTCACCCTTCTTCTTATATATTCAATAGCTTCACCCCCTTCTAGCCTAGCACCTTGAGCTGTAGTTATAAACCTCTGCTTTAGGCTTGTCACATTTCTTAGGGAGTTTGGATGGTTTTTAAATTTCGCAGCTGTCTTTCTATACTTTTTATGTACTTCTGCCAGCCACTGAGCCCCCTTTGTTCTAATCTTTTCATTGATCAGAAGGGATGCTTCCCTTCTACAGTTTAGAAAGATGTCCCATTTTCTTTCAACATCATCTGTCGGTTCACCCCGCTGCTTAGCATGTCTGTGTTCTCTAGAGGCTTCCTGACATTTCGCTATGGCTCTCTTCCTCATTCCACCAACTCTTGGGCTTGTGTCTTCTTTTTCCGGGTGACTTGTCACGTGCCTTAACTAGCTCTAGCTCAAACAGTCTAATTATATTCGTGTATGTCCACACTGTTTTATTATCCTCAGTGATTACTTTCTCAATTTGTTTAGTAGCTATTTCTATTTGCCTTTATGAATAAAAATTTTCCTGTAGTTGTTCATCTTGTCTCCTTCCCATTTTCACTGCTCTTCCAAAACTTAGCTTGATACATTTGTGAACACTACCCAAACTTCTGGAGCCACATTCATCAATGTGCATTCCCCTGAGCCTATCATACATCCTATGGGACATCATTGCGTAATCTATTGTTGACTGCAGGCTTCCTACCTCCCATGTTATTTGCCCTTCACTCTTCTCAGTACTGTTGCAAGTGATCAAACCATGCCTTTCACACATATCCATGATAATTTTGCCTGGTGGGTCAGTATACCTATCGATATCTTCTACGTGCGCATTCATATGTCTGAGTATAATTATGTCACACTCTCCTCCTTATTCCTCAATGTCCTTTGATATACACTCCACCATCGCCTGGTTTTTCTCTCTGGCCTTTGCTCCCGCCCACAAGTACACCCAACCAAGGAGTGTCATCTGCCCAGCTGCTTTCCCTCTTAACCATAAATGTTTCATGCATCCCTGCTTGACTCTTTGCCAATCCATACTTTTATGTATGAATGCACCGATTCCACCCCACTTTTTGCTGCCTTCTGTTCTATTGCAATATTCCCATACGTAGTCCGGATTGCAAGGTGGTTGCTCCATGTCTCGAAGATGTGTCTCCACAATCCCATATACCATCAGCTCCTCCTGCCTGAACTGCTCTTCTATCTCTTCCCACTTTAACCTATTCCTGCAACCCTGCATGTTAATATTGCCAAAGTCTGACTTAGTTCGGCCCTTGTGCTTCGGTCAATTTCTTCTCCTATGGACTCCATGTGGCTTGAATATTTGTGGCCCTTGAGAACTGTCTTTAACTACACTGTTGGCCTCAGGGCTCTGGGTCCCCCTAAAGAAGTTGTGGCTTAACGACCCATTCTATTACCGGCCCTCCTGCCCGTCGCACCACTGTAGTGAATGATGTCATCCTGTGCGATGGGTCGAGTGCCGGGCTCATACACGTCTTGGTTAACTTCCATTACGCTGTATCCGAGTTGCCGGCTCATACGCTTGATCACACAGTTGGCCTCCACTACATTCCTTTGAATCCCACGAGACTGCCCCCAGACCTCTAGGATTGTGCATATGGTCACATGCACACTCCCAGATGCTTCTCGGGGCTTACGCATCCCATCCTCTAACTGTCTCTGAAGGTTCCAATCCTTGCTCTTCAACACATCATTGAGCCCAGCATGAATAATGACTAGATTTTCGCCCTCTATGCTGTCCTCTGCAACCTCCTGAACTTTGGTCAGTGCATTCATCATGCTCTTCGCTGACTGGGCCTCCACCCTCACTCTCTCATCTTCCTTCACTCGTGAAGACGCCATCCCTAACCCTGGCCACGTTAGAGTCCCCCACCACTAGGAACCTTCTACACTCCAGTTGCTGGCTTCCTGTTTTTGATGGCGCCCCTGTTTGCTTCACCTGTTTCTCTCTCTGCCGTGTGCCCTGTGTTCCTGCCCTGCTCGAAGACAGCCGCGCCAACGAGCTGTATATCTCGGAACCTCCGTGCTGTGGCCAGACACTGCGCCCCCCTGACCTCTCTTCTCACCTGCTCCTCCCCGCCTGTCACCTTCTCCG